AATTTTTAAATTTTTCCCGGGCCTTTCAAACTTTTTCAAGGTGATTTAAAGGCGGGAAGTTTGGATTATTACAATATATAAAATTAGTACTCCAAAAATTATATAGAAACCAATTAAAAAATAACTCAATCAATTTTTTCATAAAACTGAATAATTGTAAGAAATACGACACTAGGAAGTATTAGTGTTCAGTAAATGTGTCCACAACATAAGTTCCCACGACCTATTGGGATAGTTTCGAAAAAAAAAACATGCAAAGACCCAAAGTCATTTAATAGATATTATTCTCTATTAACTAATAACTTTGCAAAGACCATTCTAAATTAGGACGCAACCAACAACACTCCACTTGCTACTTGCTGTTATCTATTATATGTAGGTATACTGCCTTTGTCGTAGTCACGGACGAATTCTCTCCACGATTTTTTACATTACCATTCTATGACATTACCCGGACAGGCTGTACTCAGTCCAGTATATTTTTCCCTCCCCTATGTAGAACTATTCTAACAGAAACAGATAACCTAACTTTAAAGTATGTACTTTGAACATAAGCTTATGTAGCCTTATGTTATTCCATTTATTCTTACTAGACTTGTACCTAAGCTGTAGGTTTTCTGTGTTGCTTACACGTTACAGTTTACTGAACCTGACCTCGACATGCTTGATAGTATACCTCGTCACCTATAGGTATGACGAGAACTTAAAATTTTACAGTTTACGTATTTTAACAAACCTTTACAGGCGCCTTATTAATAGTTAACCTATTCAACAAAGCTGCAAAATTTAACTACATTGTACATACCTAATTTGTCTATCATCTTAAGATTTGGTAACTGCAATGGAAAAACTTTGTGAAAAAACAGCTGAAGATTTTAGTAGATTTGTATTAACAGACATAACTGAAAAAGTAAGTACATACTTTCAAGAAATTTTGAGTTATGAAAAAAATTTTAGGTTCAACCGATAAATAAGCTGATTGATGATATGTTTGCACGGTTAGAAGAGTTTCAAACAATGATTTACTTTGCTAAACAAGAAAGAATTTCTGCCTTAAATTCGTTAGCATCTGTTCATGGCAACTTTCAAATGCTTACAAATTTACTTCAAAGAATTGATTCTATTGAAAATCTCATTGAACAGGTGAAAATTACACTGAGTGTTCTAGAAAGAGATATTGAGAAGGCTGAAGAAGAATTGGGTTACACAGAAAGTACCACTAATAAAGTGGCAAATATATTCACACCTCTCTTTGTAAGTTTTAGTAATGCTGATAATATTAACACACATTTTTATTTTTTGTTGCAGAAAAAAAATACAAATTCTGATAGGAGTCACTCCCCAAATCTTTCACAAATTTATAAAACATCAGATTACTTCTATTCAAATTCTGACCTCGACAAAAGTGAGGAATAGCACAAGTTCAAGTATATATACATATATTAAATGTACGTACCTATATCACAAAATATTTCTGTATTTGTACAAATAACAAAAATGTTGCTCATACATTCAAAATGTGTACAAAGTTTTTATTGAAATGAGATCAATAGAAGTTTGGCTTTAATACACTGATCGCCAATTTGTAATTTTGTCAAAATTTTTCTAAAAATTGTTATTCATAAACATACAGTTAAATCATATTACTTTGAAGATATACATATAAATACTAAAATGCTCCAAGTAATAATTTTCACGTGTTTCTTTTTTCTGTAATTTTGTTCAGTAAAAGTGACGCCAGTAGTGAAGTGACCTTAAATGAACTTAAGGAACTTGTTATAAAATAGATAAAAACCACCAAGCAAAATTTCTTATCTGGAAAAGCAAGTGTAAGTCATAACTAAATCAAATGAAGAAAACAGCTGTTATCTTCACGAAAATGTCAGATGTAACGAACTATTATTTAATATCTGTGAGGCCAGTGGCGATTAGACTGATACTTCTATTAAATCAAACAAAACAGTTGTTCAAAAGAAAATTAAGCAAAACCTTCTAGGAGTACAACGGGCAAAATCCCATCGCGAGAGGTCGATAAACTGACTAATTAATCGGCGGGAAATTTCGTTGTTGGTACAAATTCCAATTTAGAAGAAGCCTGTGAAGATTTTTGTGCTGTACTACTTAATTGCCAACCCACTGATTGAATTTTCTCGCAATTAAGGCTACTTTGCATATTTGAAACATGGGCTACAACTTCAACATTAAACATCATTCGTATCTCTGAACATAATTATATTTAGTTTAAGCCTTTGTACTTCACTAGATAAAGAAGGCGATGGTGGTATGTGAACTAAATGTAACTTTGAAATAGGTATCTCTACTAAATCTTTCAGGATTTTGTCGTTAAGAAACACTTTGAAATACATATTATTCATTACCTATGTGATACTCAATAATCAGATATCAACTCACACAACTGTTTTGCTAGTGTGTTTAGATCTCCAAATCCCAGAGGCGACGTTAATATTTTGTGTAATAAGGTAATCGAAGTCTTAGATCATATTTTTCAACACCATCTGTACATAATACTGTGTGGAGATTTGAATCTAGATATTAGTAGAGATAATGCAGAATTTAAATCTTTAGGTATGTGATATTATGTTGAATTATAATTTAATATTTATAATTGACAAACCCACTAGGCGTAATAATATGGCGTATGGGTTTATTTCGTTTATTTCATACGCCACCTCGGTACGATGTCTATGGGTTTCCTAGTATATACGGCGATGACCGGTGACTCATCATCGGAGACGGCGGCGTTCGAATAGAGATAAGCCTGAAGGCGGTTTGGCGGAAGTCTCGATGGCGGATTCCAGAACAACCTCGACGGCGGTGATCGCGAACCCTTTAGAATAACGTACGGCAGTTTAAATAGGAACCAGCCTACGGGAACGGGCAGTCAGTCAGTGAGAGAATTAAGAATCTAGTCAAATCCATTCCAGTCGATTAATGAGTATGAGTTACATTTTTCTTTTTCTTCGTTGACTTTGTATTGATGATACTCTCTGAAACCTGTTCGCCACTGTACTACGGGGGAATAAACTTATCATATCTCACTTGTCTCACTAGCGATTCGTTGTTAACACTTTGGCTGTATACCTATAGAAGGTATACGGCATGGTATACGTATTATTTCCGATTTCTTTGGTAATTTTCCACAAATTCAGAATTATCGACCGACCTCTTGCTATTAAATCTGTTGTTTCAAAATTTTTCGAATATTACCAAGATTCAATGATTATATGTATAATGAAAGGTATTTTGTTTATTAATTGAATCACAGTTTGTTTTCCAAACAGATAAATCCACTCACTCAACTTTTCATTAGTTTTATAGAATAGACGAACTTAAAAAAAAAAAAGAATATCTAGGTATCTTCTGCAACTTTTCTTGTGCTTTTCATTGTGTTAAATCACCAAATATGGTTAGACAAATTAATAAGTGATTATGGTATACGAAAGCATACCCACACTTGGATATCCGACTATCTAAATAACAGAACACACTAATATGACAATTATTCCCAGAAATCTTCATTAACTGAAAAAACCGTTGGAGTATCACAAGGCTATCACGATTTTAGGACCTGTTCTGATTATTTTTTTATGTTAATGATTAAAGCTAGGTGGTCGAAATTTAAACGCTTCGTATTGACCCTTACCGCTGTAGACCAGCGAGCAACCGATGTTACGTGTCGCGAAGAAAATTATGAGAAAAATAATATTAACTGAGTGTCAGTTGATTTTAAAACCTATATACACGAAATAATTTTAATAAATTTCAAATGTCTCGTTGAAAATAAAACTATTATTTTGTATAAATTATCAAAAATAATAATTGGAAAGCGAGCAGCGGGCAAAGCAATGCTCGCTGAATCGCACGGGTGGTGGGAATAAATATATTTCGACCGCCCAGCCATGGTACAAGAAGACGGAGGTTGAGATTCGGTTCAGTTGAGTGTTTAATCATGGGTTAACTTATCTTCGAAGGTGAAATCAGACGCCAATAACATGTGTTCAAAATTTGGCATCATTCGTTGATAGTGACACTGTTACGAGATAAACCCGTACGACGGCTATGGGTTTTCTAGTATGTGTGGCGATGATGGGTGATTCATCGTCGGTGATGGCAGCCGGACGGCCTTCGCTAAAGAAAAGCCTGGAAACGGAAGTCGCGATGGGTGCTCCAGAATAAGTCTAGAAGTGGTGACGGCGACTGTTCGAGAAGGACCGCGTGGCTCTTTAAATGGTAACCACCGTCGGGAGCAGTCGAATCGGAATTATTCTGTACATAATCGCTGTATAGTTAATCGTGTAAATTAGTATAACCGAAAAATAAATTGTTGAGTTTTACCCACGCCGATTTTTAATCACCGATAATGTAACAACACGAACATGCAACAAGCCAGAATTTAAAGTTGACGGTCATGACATCCACATGACGTCACGCAAAATGCGCAATATCATACCGTAAGTTAGGATTGAGCAGTGAGAGCTTGTAGGTAGTATCTTTTCTTCTGCGTTGTTGAAAACGATCTTAGCAACGCTAACCTCAACGTAATACAGAGTCATCAAAATTGATTGAGAGAGTTGGTAAACCTGAACTTGAATAATTTGGTTTATTAAGTTGTATAAAAATATTAGCTGTCAGATTTGAAGTTTCAAGTTTCAAATTCCAAAACTCAGTGGCGTCTTTTTTCGATTTTTTTTTTTGGTAAAAATATTAGTTGTCAGATTTGAAGTTTCAAATTTTTGTCACGCCACTGAATTCATTGCCATATAACCTTAAACAAATCTGTCATAAGGTTGACAAACTTCACGACAAAAACAGGGGGTACCAACTCTCTCAATCAATTTTGATGACCCTGTATATAATAATGTCAGAATGTCAAGTGACAGAATAGTTACTAAAATCCACAGTTACATTGTGGATATTTACGAATCAGTATTTGTGTATGTATCGATTTACGAACACCTTAAATTTACATTTTCTGTATATGTTGATCAAATTTTAATTCCTTTTATAAAAACATATATTGTAATGTGTTGAATAAAATACAAATTGCTCTGATGTCTGATTAAAAATTTGTATCAATGATGCTGACAGTTTAAGAGTAGATGACTACCGTAAAATTATTTAGTAAAAGTCTTCATTTAATTTATTCTTCCCTGTCATCTGGTTTTTCACTTGCTCCTGACTGGAATACAATGATCCTACTTGTTGCGACGACGTAGCTTGTTCCACAGTTTTATCATCTCTAATACGAATAAACCGAGGAAATCTTAACGATATTCCTTTTTCAGAATCGACCTAAAACTGCCGAGTGCAGAGTTATTATTAAATTGATTGTGAATTACCAACGATTCCAATTGCAGCTCTATGAACAGGAGAAAGTGACAAATCCGCACATTTGACTTCCCAGACTTGTACACTATCAAACCAATGATCAGGTTCATGACTGGTGTCATACCTATAGTATGACTTTGGCTCCGAAAGCAGATGACTTTTAAAGAATTCCGAATGTTGCTGAAGTGCATCATCTGAAAAGCCTGTACCGATCTAAAAGTAGAAAAAAACATGCAATGTTCTTTTATAAGGGTAAGTATTCAAATAATAATCTACCTAACTGCGAAACAAAAGAAGTAGGGGATATATTAAATTTTTACTCTTCTAAATAACTTCCCTCTGTATTGACACGTTAATTCACCCAGTTATTTCATATAATCCAATTAAAATTCTGTTAGTTGACTTGAGCAACCCTTTAGTGTTTTTTCTGTTTTTTTTCTAAACAAATAAAAGGCTAACATACAAAAATAGAATGTACATACTTACTCGTAATTTAATCAATTTAATCTGATTCTAAAGGAATGTAACCAATTATTGTCACCGGTGACCATTGAAAAAGCGTTAGGATCTACCTTTAAACCAATAAAATGTTGTCAGCGAATTTGTTGTCTTTTCGGTTTTTATTCAAACATAAACAATCATATAATTCATTTTCGTTCACCTTGTTCGGGTGAGGTCACGTGCTTCCTTATGATATTTTTAGTTCAGAGGTGATAAACAAAGGAATTTACTTTATTTGTACATTGCTTCATTTGTTTTTTTTTTTTTTGTAAATCTTCAGATCTCTACCTCGTTTAAGCTGTTGGACCAAAATTTAACTTGTCAAATTTCGATGTTTCAGTTTAGAGTTCACTAACTTTAATTAGCTGAGAAAAATGTATTTCACCAGAACCAAGTGATAGACTGAAACAAAATTTACTAAATATGGTGGTAGTTATTAATTAATTTGTTTCATAGTTAAGTAGATCCTTATTTAAATTGTTTCTGTAAGATTATAATTACCTTACAAATACTTTGAAATTCTTCACTTTCTTGATCATAACAGGCTAGTAAGAAACCACCGTATGTACCAGTCCGTTTACCTTTTCCTAAATAACCTCCAATTACTACCAAATCCAATGTGTCTCCACAACTGTCTAGATAATCCTTTTTTAATTTCAGCCAATTGCGTGATCGCTTAGCAATTTCATATGTAGCTTCTTGTTCTAACGTTTTGACCATCAAACCTTCGCAGTTACCTTTAACACTTTCATCAAGAAACTCCTGTACCTCTTCCATTACAGTTGTATCTATTGCAGTAACAAAACACCACTCTCCTTCAACTTCTTTGAAGTATTGTTTCAACAGGTTCCGTCTTTCAATAAATGGTCTTTTAACAAGTGATTCACCATTTAAATATAAGAGGTCAAACATAAAGACACAAACTTGTACTTTTATTTGGGACTGATCTGCATCCTGAAAACGAAATGAAGTACACAAAAAAGAATAAATAAATCGTGGTCTGGTGAATTTAAGAGACTGAATAGTGAATATCGGTGAACGCTTACACAAACTTTCTAAAATAAGCGATCAATCTTTATAAACACAATTTTTTTTAATTAAAGCAACTCAAGTTAATTTTTGATCATTATTAAACTTTAAAGTTTTTACTAGTCATATTAGGTACTCACCTTCCGTTTTCTGGTGCTAAGAACTTGGAAAGGTTGAATCACTTTATTTTCGCGATCCCAAGCCACAGCTTCACAATCGAGTACGCACGATTTAACATCTTCACTTTTACATTTATCAATTCTTGAAATGATATCTGGGTATTTGGATGTATTGTTTTCTTGATTACGACTAAAAATGAACACCTCACTTCCATTTATGTGAATCTACAAATAAAACAAAAATAATAATAAACACAGAATTATCAAATGAATGCTGGAGATACTTGTGCTCTTTCCCCATCATATTTCCATTCACATGTAAACTTCATGCCATCAAAGCGTTGCAGAACTTCTTGAATTCCTTTAGTTGGATGAGCTAACATGGGTTTTAATGGAATTCCAGGTGTCAGTTTACAATAATCTGGCAATTTTTCTATTCCATCCGACAATAATTTTGGTATTATTAAATCATAATTTGGACATTCGCTGCGGAAATTCATTGAATTAACAAAATTTTAAAGGGAATGTATAAAACACGTACCAATATGTGGTCTTCAAAATCAGAGCTAACTCATCATATTCAGTTTTAAACTGTTCCGAGTTTAATTTTTTCGATACGTCTACACTGATTATTTCATCCTTTGACGTCGGGGGATTTAAAGTGCACGCCAATGCCAACGCTTGAAGAACAGACTGTTCAGCTAATCCTATTCGCAATTTCCCAGTTAAAGATCGAATTAGGAAACGCGCTTCGGACTTTTTGCAGGCGACAAACATGGTTTGAATTTTTTCAATTTTCTTCGTCTGAGACTACAAATAAGTGCTTTTAAATCTACTGCTACTTGTATGTAATTAAAACTTTACAGCATGTCCTGTTAAATTTGCTATTTCTTTTAATTTTTCGAAAACTCCAGGAACAGTAAGACGGGTGGGTTGGAAAATCATGCGTTGGTTGGTCTTGGACTGTTCAGCTACTAAACCCAAATCACCCAACGACTGACAATCTGATTTGATTTGATCCATCGATCTACCAGTAGATGATGCTATAGCTTTCATTAGACTTGTTTCAGCAACTCCAAGCTCAAGTCCTACATTTAAATTGTAATTTTTAAATTATTTATTTTTTATTATCTTTCCATTACCTTCATATGCGGGTCCAAGTTTATTTAAACATAAATACAATGACGGAAGAAGATCATTACGACTTAACGCAATTACAGAACGAAAAAAATTGCTCAGTATTTCAATGATTTTTAGTCTACCGGACGTGTTTTCAATTTCTTCCAAAGTTCGAGTTAGTACAATATAAGGGACTCTGAAACAATCAATAGACGAATAAAAAAATATATATACATTCTTTATGTTACTTTTGATTTGCTTCCCAAGTGGCATCATTGATTGGATGGTATTTTACAATATTTGGATTGTACGAGTCGTTACCTTTATCGTTACTTTTATTTGTAGATAACGTTAAATCTGGAAAAACAAAATAATTTTAAATAGTTGGCAATGTAATGTATAGTGAACCAAGAGTTATAAGGTTATATGGCCATCATAAAATCATCCCATTGTGTCGAAGTTAAGTTGTTTACAATAGAAAAGGTTTTAGGGTCGTAAATAACGTGTCCACTGCAGCTCGACCGGCTCTTGCGGTTTCGTTCAGGGGCGGCTTTCACTAAATATGAAAATCCACCACTCCACTATTTCTTTACTACCTGCAGCCGCTGAGGGTTCCGAAATAACCACTCGCTTTGAAAGCCGGCCCTGTTAAATATGAGCAAGAAATGTTTAGAAGATGATTTATTGCCAACCGGTAAGCTTAGTGCGAACCACACAAAGGGGGTATTTATTTGCGGTCAACTACTTTTATGATGGCCATATAACCTTATAGGTCTTGGTTCACTATAAACATTTTTTTACCGGTGGTAGATTTTCGTTCCTTAAGTAAATTATTTTTCTCTTCTGTCTGTCCACTTCCATCTACTGCTAAAATGAACATTTAACAAACGTATTACTAATTTTTCAAACACAAAAAATGGTCCAAAATTATTTAGACAGAACTTCCCTCGCCCCCGAAGAACAGGTGGATAGCTTAAGCCCTATTAGTTAAAATAAAGATATGTGTGCACTGTTGAAATACAGGTAAAGAAGCATGGTATGTGTATGCTTCAAGTGAGTTTTTCCATTGCGTAGATATATCACTTTGAATAGGTGCAGTGGAATAACAGTAAGAGTTTTCTTGAGAGGAGATAAATAGATAAATTTTAACTAACGATGACATCATCCATTGTTGGATTCGGTCCGGTAGTTAGAGATTATCTATGTAATAAATACCGACAGAGACGACAGATATAGACAGACGGAAATGGACGACCTATTATTTCATTCTCTATGCGTCAAGAAACCTCGAGCAAACATCATTCGCCGAATGGACCCTATTAATCTACGGAGATACGTTCCGCAAGTAAAAATGAATTCAGGATATGGGACAAAATACGATAAAGGGCAAAATCAGTGAAAAGAAAAAAGTAATAACTAATATGTTTTAGGTGTAACTTTTTGTTATTAGATTAACACTACAGGATGTTAAAAAGCAATTTATAATAATGTCCGCGAAAATATTTTAATAGGCAGCAAATAAAGAACTAGATTTTATTTCTAAGCGAGGAACAGTTTTAATTATAAAATAATACTAAATTTTAATACGTTAATAAAACTTATTTGGCCATTGGTAAAAGGAAAGTTATTACAAATACAATTAAATGAGCATTCAAAATAACTTAATTCTCTACAAAATATGTTTTTTGGCTTCAATACTACACGTAATTTGGTGCATCGACGAGATGCCTGGAATGTTGAAAATATCTCTGTAACGCTTAGTTCTTAATTTTTCCTGCTGTCTTACTCGCATCTTTTCATTTTTGTTCATGTCATTTATTTTCTTTTGTTTTTTTAGATGGTACTCCGTGTCTTTCATTCTTTTTAAATTTCCATCTTTTTCCGACATTCTTGCACGTTTTTTTTTTCTTTTCACGTTCATATTCTCGTTTTCAGCTGCAGTTTTCTTCATTTTCTAAAACATAAAATAATATGGCTGTTAGCCACTATAGATAAGAATTTATCGGTAAAAGTAAAAATAAGGGGACCGGCGTTACAGGGGACCGTCGTTACAAAATACGTTTAATATATATATTTTGTAATTCGCAATAATCTGAAATTTAGCACATAACCATTGAAACAAACTGTTTTCAATGCTTTATTGGACAAACATAATACTTACGCTATAAAATTGAAAATACCGTTTATATCAGTGGGGACCGTCGTTACTTTAGAAAACATATTTTTTCAAATTACGAATAAATGATGTAAATAAAACGTGAAAACTACAACAACAGTTAACTTACCTGTTTGGCCATTTTTTTCACTCACTTTGTCAACTTGTCAGAAGCAGTCACAGCTTCTTTAGTTAAAAGCAATGATAACAATATCCATAAATGCTTACCAAATCTTAAATGATGCATTTGTAGGTACACATTTATTTATTTTTTTTGTGCAACAATAAAGCAATTAAAAGACTTTTAATCATGTTTAAATAAATTTTCACGGTATTGAGTTTACAAAAATAAATTATACGTATAGTGAACCAAGAGCTATAAGGTTATATGGCCATCATAAAATCATCCCATTGTGTCGAAGTTAAGTTGTTTACAATAGAAAAGGTTTTAGGGTCGTAAATAACGTGTCCACTGCGGCTCGACCGGCTCTTGTGGTTTCGTTCAGGGGCGGCTTTCACTAAATATGAAAATCCACCACTCCACTATTTCTTTACTACCTGCAGCCGCTGAGGGTTCCGAAATAACCACTCGCTTTGAAAGCCGGCCCTGTTAAATATGAGCAAGAAATGTTCAGAAGGTGATTTATTGCCAACCGGTAAGCTTAGTCCGAACCACACAAAGGGGATATTTATTGGCGGTCAACTACTTTTATGATGGCCATATAACCTTATAGCTCTTGGTTCACTTTAAATAACATGAATGCAGCAGTTGCCCACAATACGAAGCATTTTGTAAATATCGCCTGGGGACAGGGGACCGGCGTTACATTTGTTAAAAGTTTAATGGAAAACCACAACTGTGTACCACTTAATATTAGTGAACTGTGTAATATCTAATAATTATAAAGTCATTGTTTATGATAAATTCAATATTTAAGAAAAAATTAAAAGAAAACACAGATAAATGTGGTAGGAACACGTTTTTGCCCATTATCGTATTTTGTCCCATATATGCTTGTTTAACACGTAATACTCTATTATAAACTGAGATAAGTTGCTAATTAATACGAAGTTTAGTTGTTTAGCGTGAAAGACAATAGTTCGAATATTTACTTAAATGACACTGAAACTGAAACAGATTACTTGTTTGTACAATAAAGTGGTAGTCCCTTATTACACTCATCTTCCACATTTTTGTTCTTTATAAGTTTTTTTTTATAAACTGAAAAAGAAATAAACACCCAACTGTCATTTTACTTTAATAGTCTAATAGTCTATCACAGGCTGTTAAAAAAATGGTTGCAAATACATTGCACTAATGAAACAGGTTAACATAACACAATGTTCAATGATGTCTCAGTATTTTTACAATTCTTAAGGTATAATAATTGCTGATAAAATGCCCAATTATTTGTATTATTTATAACAATCGGCAGGAACACCCGCCTGCCCACAAGAGACAGTAATGGAGGAGGTTCACTGCTTCTTGAGAGAAACTCTAACTGAATAAACTATTAAACTGTGGTTTTAAAGTATTTAAGTATTAAAAATTAGTACAAGGTGCGTTTGATAGCAGTAAGTCATATGCCATTTTAATAAACTACGGTCGTTTCCAAAAAAATTTGGGCAAGATGAACAAATCAGGGCTCATAATATCAATAAAAAGCAATGGGAACATGACTTTCATGCTAATGTCATTTGTCCTAAATTTTTTGGAAACAACGATACGTTACAGCGAAAATTTTATGGTATCTTTCGTCGTCTTCGTTGATTCACTATTAAAGTCTCTCCAATTGGTTACAATCGTCCGACTTGTCAAAAGGGAAAATATCAAAAGATGTCACCCCCTTCGGGAGTTACAGGAACCTGTAATTAATCCGTTTTGTCACGCGCCAAAACAGTTTGTGCTTGAATTGATATTATCAAAATGTCGAAAAAATATTGCTCTGTGCCTGCTTGTCGGGTAATCAAAGATCCTAGAGACCACAAAATAATGCACAGATTCCCTTCAAACACTGTGAACAAAAGGTGGTGCAAAAAGGTTTTTAATGCTACAAGTAGGTACCCCAACATAAATCTTTGACCTAATAAGGGAATGTATAACTATTAAAACCATTTCAGGTGATAATATTGCACATAATTTATACATTTGTGGTAAACACTTTGAGAGAAGTTGTTATTATACAAATAAAAGACTTAAACCCGGCTCTGTTCCTACTTTGTTCCTCCATGGTTCCAAGTCGCCGCTACCTGTTCCTACTTCTTCAAGTTCCCCAGCAAATATTAAACGTGATCCAGAATCCAGCTTAATAATTCCTGAGACGCATTCCGATAACAATGTAAACACCTCAAAGAAAAATTTTCCTACTGCATATCCCTTTGAAGACCATCCACGCCCATGGCGTTGTGACTTTGGCACCGGTACCGAAATTTTTCCTCTTTTTCAAGTAAAAACCGAAATACATGATGTCAAATTGTGTCAAAAAGTCAGACCACGACAGACATTTAGCCGACATTACAGATTCCTTTCCCTCCCGACGTATGCGCCCCCACATGTCACATTTAAGGGATTGGAGAGACTTTAATAGTGAATAAACGAAGACGACGGTATCTTTAATGTCATAAAAAAAGACATTAAGTATTTAATCAGTTTATGGCTTACCTGTTTTTGCTTTTGAGCCAACATCAGTCAACGTGCATGGTTTTCTATAAAATTTTGATTAATACAAAATTTCAATATTTATATATCTATTACTTACTTGGTGTCTGGTGAACTATCACCGCTACTAGACTTCCTGGATCTCTTGTTAACATCTTTTGATTTCTCAAATAATAGATTTGAAGCAGCAATTTTTCTAAATTGAAGTAAGTGGGACTTATTAGAAACATGATTATAATTCAAAGTTACTTGCTTTATAAATGAAGAAAGCATATTTTAATATAAATTCTATATTCACATACCCTTCATCGCCTTCAATGTTTTCTGAAACTTTAATCGGAGTAAAGAATGACCTACAATATACAACAAAACGTACATTTCCTTTAATTTTTGTTGTGGTAAATTACCTAATGCTTCTTTGCGCCATACTCAATAATTTAATCACTTCGCATATGAAAACTACATTTGTTCAAAGTAAATTGCAACTCATACAATGTTTATGTTCATGCATATACCCAAATACAATTAATGCAAAAACAGCAAATTTAAACTGTGCATACAAACTTAAACCAACAATGTTAGCTCCGTTTATGATTAGCGTACCAAACAGAAACAAATCATTGCACTTACAAAAACCGCGAAAAAATGTTTAAAAGTTAGGTTAGAAACATACAAACATGTCATATGATGCATGTGACCATGGACATCTAGACACCCATTCAAAGATTTTTTATATATAGACGGAGCATATAGTATGATATTAGGTCTGTGATATTAGGGATTCCAGATTTTTGTCATTCACATGCATTCTTGTAACTAAAACTTATAAGATTGACGACCTCTTAAGGGAGGCGGAAAATTTTTAAAATGCTAAAAATACTTGTCACATTATTATGAGATTAGGGTTTATGAATATCAATTTGTCTGTTTTGAAATGTTGGTTGCATATGTTCTCGACAAAATTGTAAACATGAAATGATAAAAATTCTTCATTACATCATGCCTACAGCCCAGATCCCGGATTAAAAAAAAGGAATTGATACGTTTTAAAAATACCTGTTATTTTGCTATTGCACAAAAATAACCGGTTTTATTCTACAAAAAATTCCATGGTATCTGTTCTGTGGTATCATGGCAATTTGGCAATGACATCGATGACATCTGACAACAAATGTATTTATTATGTCTAGGTATTATTAACCTCAAAATTAACAAATAGTATGTAGCATGTCGTCCTTATTGACCTTAAAATTGTTAAATAATCATCATACGGTTAGTCTGTGATAATTTGTGTAAATGATTACGCTGCAGATTTTAATTGTTATAGGATTTGAGTAAGTATTGGTATAGTCCCAGAAAATATAAATAAGCAAGAGATACACCAAATTTTAAGGTGAAAACTAATTGTGCATATCAACTCAACAGAATATTTCGACTTACGAAAATGTGTGATTGTAACCCACAAAGTTTAGATCTAAAAACACCACGCAATGTACACCTAACAGCCTTTTACAAAAGGTAAGATTTCACATAATTTCCTTTACACAGAAGTATTAATAGGTATGTCCAATTTTTAGGAGTTTTGCTCATCATACTGTCAAAAATCGAATGCCAATCATTCTAACCCAAACTATTGATATTCTTGTACGAAACAAAGAACAAATAGGAAAAGATTATGGTGAAGTAAGTGCATTCAGTTCATTAGGCGCCATGTAGCGTTAATACAATCAGTTGTATTTAGCTCAATGGTAAAATTAACAAACAATTCAATAACAGGCGAAGATCAGTGCATCTTTTTTAAAAGTGGTCATAGGGATTCCCATGTTAAATTTGAGACCCCTTGCTAACTTTAGTTAGGCTCAAAACCCAGAGATGACTTTTGCGGTGGACATAGCCTTAGGGTTCTACTTTAATTGCCACTACCACTTTTTGAAGTAAATTGTTAATTTGTGTTTTAAATAGTAAACATTTTGGTGAAAAAGTATTAAGTACATCATATTATGTAAAAGGTTGTGATTTGTCATTTTTGACAGCATAATTTTAATTTAATCATTAAACGCCTTTACTGCAGTTTTTAGAAAAGAAACAGAATGATGAAATTCAAAAATAAATAAAGAAAATCTTTAAACCTGGCATAAAATTTTTCAATTGTGCTTTTGCCGGGTATAAGGCGTGGGAATGCTGAAGCACAATTTTGCGCAATTGCGATAAGCCGTTAATGTATCTAGGGACCATTTTCTTTAATTGTGTACTGCGGCATATTGACGAATTTCAGTCAGTAAACACCATTAATTGAATGAATAATGAAATTTTAGAAGTCAGATAAATGTCTGTTTTTATATGGCTGTCTACAATATTACCGGCAAAAATTGCCAAGTAAAAATCTTTTAATTTAAAGCGTAACCTTTAATAAATTCGACAAAAGATGACCCAAATTATATCCAGTAAAAATTTCAACTCTAATCTTTACTAGAACATGAGTTAACATGGAGTGTAAAATTTAACATGGGAATCCCATGGCCACTTTTAAAAAAGATGCACTGTATGTTTCTGTTTGTCTGTAATAAATTACTCACATAGTTTGCATATAATGTAATGTATATCATATGGTATATATACAGTGATTACAAGTTTTTGTTTATTAAAATTAGCTATATGTAGCGCCACTTTGTTACAAAATTTAACATGTAAATTCTTGAGAACAGTGGCTTAATATTTTGATGCCTAGTCAAATACAATTTGATAAATAAATATATAACTGTAATCACGTTACAGGCAAGTTTAAAACCATTGTTAACTTAACCGTACATACGTTGATCATGTGATCAAATTCAGTGAATTGAATTCTCAGAATCAAGCCTTAACTCGCCAGTGATTGTTTAATAGAATGATTATTTTAATCTGTTTCTATAAACTAACTCTGAATCAAAACGATTTATAAATTTGTTTAATCTATGCTATGCCACTTGGGCCCGTCGAGGTTCAGCATAAGACTCTTTGAAATAACAAGCATTTATTTGCGTACGTATTTACAACACAGAGTGAATCAGTGATATAAGGACGCTTTGTATATGGACTATTAGAGCCAAATTTCTCAGGAAATAGATCGGTAACGCTGCACATTTAGGAGAGTCCGTTGTTTCTTCCCTCTAGCATTCCGAGATGAGTATAATATAGAGGACAGAGCGCCATTATGCGGAATACTAGCCAATATGCCAATAAGCAAATGTGTCTCAGCTAGATCACTACGCGCTGGTCAAAGATTAAACGGTGGCGTCTAGGCACAGGGTGGATTCTGGATTCTGGATTCTTAATTTATGGGGGCTGACCGTAGCCAGCCGGCACTTAGGCCTCGCCTTTGGGCCCATTGTACCTTCCCCAAGTCTATATCAGGGTGTTTTCCCGCTCCTCTACTCGTCAAGCCACCCAACTTCTTGAATGTACTTGAGTAATGCAGAGGGTGGAAACTCCCTGATATTTGCCATACTAGGCCAGATGTCCCCTAGTATGGATTCCCTGTAGGAGGCTAGGGCTGGACACTCACGAAGAATGTGCTCAGCTGTTTCCTCTTCTTCATTGCATCCACGACAGATTGGGTCTGTTACCACCCCTATCGTATATAGATGTTTGTTAAACTGGTAATGTCCCGTAAGGAATCCTACCAGTTTACGCAGTTTGTCCCTTGAAAGTGAGAGATAAAATTTCGTCAACTTACGGTCTGGTGTCGCCATACAAGCTCTACTATGCCGACAGCTGCTCAACTTCACCCATATCTGCTCATGGCGTCTCTGGGTATATTGCTTTACGAGTTCGTTCGAGAGGGCGACCGAAGGCGTGATTGCCGGTTCGGGTCCCCAGAAGGGCATGCGCGCGGCTCGCTTCGCCATCTCATCTGCCCTCTCGTTTCCTTCGTTGCCACTGTGTCCTTTGATCCAACAAAGTTCCACACTATTCCTCTGCGTTACATACTTTAGCGTTTGTCTGCACTCCCAAACCAGCCCGGATCGAACCATACAGCTGTCCAGGGCTAGTAGTGCAGACTTGCTGTCAGTAAGTATGCGTATTGATTTGTTGCCGATTTCACGTTCAGCAATGATTCTAGCTCCCAGCATTATTCCCATCAGTTCTGTTTGTAAGACAGACGTGTGGGTGCCGAGAGGTACACTGATTTGTGCGTTCAGTTGTTCGGAGTAGATGCCGGCTCCTGAACCACTATCTGTTTTGGCACCATCGACATAGATATCTATGTCGGCTCGTCCTTCTGAATTATCATTCATTGATATTCTATATGTCTTCTCATATATTAATTTTGCGCCCATTCGGTCACAACCCATCCTTAACAAGGGTATTCTGTTGAACGCCTCCGTTAAGATCCGAGTGTGCTTCGTTGTGCGGCCTTGTTTGTTCCATACTCCCAGAGAGTGAAGTCTTAGAGACGTCGTCATTGCCGCTTCCTCTATGTAAAGGTTAAGAGGTGCTAAGCAAAGAAGAGTCTCCAGAGCCGCTGTGGGAGTGGTCCTCATTGCTCCTGTAACACTGAGACACGCCATTCTCTGAACGTGTTCAAGTTGCAGGGCTGTTGTTTTTTGTCTGGCTCTGGGCCACCAAACTAAAGCTCCATAGCACAGCATCGGTCTGACTATTGCCGTGTAGATCCAGAGGGCGATCTTGGGATTTAAACCCCACGACCTTCCCACCACCCTACGACATTGCCAAAGAGCCGAGCGTGCCTTTTCTACTTTATCATCTACATGCTTCTTCCAATTCAGTCGCCAGTCCAATACAACTCCCAGGTATTTGACTTCGTCCGAAAGTTGAAGCGTTGTGTTAAATATTTTTGGCATCTGTAGTGTGCCAATTTTCCTTTTCCTGGTGAACAGGATTAGTTTCGTCTTTTCTCCATTAACGGAGAGGGTATGTATGCTGCACTAGGCACAGGGTGATTCGGAACGAAAGCGAACTAAACGTTATAATATCATTTTTTATGAAAATTCCAATTGCACCCTCAATCAGTATAATAAAACTCCGAAAACAAACCTTCACACAACTTAAAATTAGAATTGTCAGTAAAATAAATAAATATGTTCGACGCATTGTCTAATTAAAATTTGATTAAAATTGGACACCAATTTGCAAAAGATTTTTTTTTACATCAATGATGTGTTTTAAATTTGGGGTCAGTATAGAATGATCCCCCAGGCTCTCAGTCCACGGCATTATGAATTCTACTGCACTTTCCACGATCCTTTTCCAAGAGTGGGACAACGTTAGGTTAATTTAACTGCCGTAAATGAACTATTAACATGCTTGTGTGAGGAATTAAGAAGTGTTATAATGTAACACCTAAGTATAAGCATTCAGAAATATTATTTATAACTTGATAAACAAAGAATAAGTCCTGACTAAGTGAATTTCATGAAATCTCCTAGCAAGTGCTTAATTACAGCAATCTAATGACTGTTAAATTGTGTTAGAACGAGTTAACGATTAAAATCCTAACATGAACTGTGAATTTACAAACAATAAAACAAATTTACACCACGTATTGGCGTCCATCGGAAATTCGCATATTGCTTGGAAAAACGGTAATAATTAGTTACGTTTGTTGGGGAAACTGTGGCCTCGTCGTCGTTACAATTAATTTTTGTTAAACAAAGGCCTCCCCTTTTTTTTAACTACCAAACCAACTTACCGCGTCCTTTCACTCACATCAAACAAACAACAGTGACGCATCTCATCCCTCTAGGAAGCAAGCCAACTTCTACCAACCCTCTCACTAGATACCACCCAGAAATTTCGTAAGAGAAGTACCAACTACCAGAAAAGAACTAAACTTGCACATAGTTGCATATGTTTAACGATTTTCTTAATTATTTTTTTTTTCAAATTCAAGATATTCAAATGCTATTTCGCGCCGTTGTTTTTTTCAGTGCGAAATTTTAATCAAATTTGGTCACCACAATATATAATATAAACTTTTTGATCACCCGTTATAATCCGTGTATAACGTGGATCAGAAATTGCGTTGGTTACTCTTGGAAAAACATGGTTATTTTGTACAAAATTGCTGCTTATTTTAAAGTTTAATCTTTAACAGCAATGTACCAAATGTTTCAGATTTGAACTCAAACACGTTATGGTCCCCGTAACACCAGAACATATTAACATATTGAAGATATGTACAGATTAGTGATGTAACGAATGGCAATTTTTGGGCATTCGCGAATGCGAATATTTAGTTTTTAAATTTAGCGTCATTTGTCTATGACTAAAATATTGCAGTTGACTGTCCGCGCGAGTCGCACCCATACATTTATCGCCGCTTGTCAGATTGAAAAGAGAAATAAGTGAATTTTGAGGTTAGAGTGTGTTAACTGATTAATAATTCTTCATTGCAAAACTAAGTAAAAGCTTTATTACCTAATATTAAACTATAGGTGCTATAGTCTGATTATTCCACATATAATTGTGAGGTTAGGTTAAGTCAGTTTTATAAAAAACGTTAAGCTTTTCTAATAAAATTAGAAGAAATTCATATTTTTTGTTTTATTTACCTAATATTCTGATATTCGTGTTCGCAAAATATTCGCATGAATTTTGCGAATGCGAATACGAATGCGAATGTCAAGAAACTTGCGAATATTCGTTAGATCACTAGTACAGATCATGATCTGGGATCATAGCACCTCCGTTGAAATACATGGACAGTATTGAGATATTTATGTTTTATCGGTATAATATCGTGTTTGATTTACAGCCGATGCAGCAATTGAGCATTCAGAAAACTTCAAATTTTGTTGAGCAAGCTATATTTTGGAAGTGAATATTATAGTACAAATAACCAAATGTAAGGACGTATTGCATGATATTTAGCAGTGAAATTAAAGTATTCCGATGATTATTTCGCTGAAATAATTGGAATTTCGACCACATTATCAAACAAGCGTATTTCCAATTGTAATGATATTGATAACTTCGTGCGTAGTAAAATAAAAAGATTAAAATGTGTCAATAACTGTAATATTTATATTGTTCTATGGAAAAATGTGAAAAAGCAGCATTGTCCAAAGTTTTTGTACCCGCTGATATGTTATGTTAGTAAAGTATTATTATTTTTATTGTAGGGGAGCCAAGAAGATCTTAAAAATGTTATTGGAGAACTTTCTAAGCTTAAATATGAAGTGCAAACCAATAAATCATTTAGGAAACTTTCTTCCTCTGCTGCCGATGTAAAATTTTATAATGATTATATAACGGCACAGTGTAACAAGGAAGGAAACGTCACTTTCTTTTCAGCGGTATGGCTTTTTTCTGAGTGTTATATGTATAGAAGAATGCGGGAGGCATTTGAAATGACGTAAGTATCAACACCTGAATAAATCCAAGTGAAATGGGCCACGAATTATTTTTTCTATTGCAACGAAAGTATAAAACTGTTGTATCACATTAATTTATCGTGTTCCGATTGTTAACATTTTTATGATACAGTGCTTAAAATACTTCATTTTTTTGATAAACACATAAATGATACAATAATATACTATATATTTTTCAAGGGCAGTTGTAACAAGTACAATTACGGATTGTAAGACAAAAAATTGTTTTTTGTTTGCTATAATTGTTTTATAAAACTTGATATTTTTTAATTGAGCTTCTTCGATAAGAAACAAATTTCAGGTGGTCCACTTCATTTGGAGTGACATATGTATATACAAAAATAAGAATAAATAATTTTTTGCATATATTAAAGTCGCAGAAAATCGCAGGTGTGGCGACTATATTTTATTATTAACGGTTTTATCACATTGCGGCGAAACTCCAGGGACGAACGGTGACGGTCCGGAATTTCGCTGATGTCGCGTGGAGGTGGCGTGCCTCAGTGCCAAGCCCTGGGCCGACTAGTGCCGCTGAAAAAAAAAACACGTCTGGCCGACCTAGGCTACGAAGTCACTTTCACGCCACTAGGGGTGGCGCTTTAGATCTCCAGGTGGTCTCATGAGTGCCCGCGGAAACAAGAAATAAGATGGCGGAATCTTTAACAATAATCGGATTTTTATTCCCTGCCACCAGCTACACGGCTAAAATAATCTTACGGTTAACCTTAAATAAAAAATTACAAACAAGAAAAAAGAACAAAATGTCCGACACGAGCGTTCCATCCGGGACGGCGGCTTCCTACGGGACGGCTGCCCCTAGTGCTGGGGGGCGCAACCCTGAAACGGAAAATCGTGCGGCGACACGGAAGGGGGGCGCGGCGGCGGAAAACGACGTATGCTCAACAGTTTCGGTTTCTTGCGGTTAACAGAGAAAAAAACGGTGGCGGCGGTACGGTTTTTTGCTCGGGGGCGGCGAAAAACGGTTCGCAACAGACAGAAAATCCAAGCCCTCAACTCTTGGTATGCGTCCTAGTTTCCGGTCCGCAAAAACTCGCTTCGTTACATTCCCCTCTTTCGTCGGTGAAAAAAGGAGTGTAACTTCTTTTTTTTTGAAAGATGGAGTTGCGGTGCGGGCATGGTGGACTATAAGTTCCGGGTTCAGACAGCAGTGTCGTGGACTCCTTGGTGAAGGTGCTGTGGACGGACTGGCACGCTTGTAATTTCAGGTTCGGTCGACGGTGTTTAGGCGGTGGAGGCATGGTACACGTCGACAAGGCTAATGTTTTCTCGGTCGGTGCTGGGATCGGCCGTTGGGCAAAACGGATTGCTTGACTCTTTTGTACGGACGCGGAGTTGACGGTGTACTGAGGGGTGGCATGATGGTGGCGTTCTGTACAACGAGCGGAACTGCGGGGTCGGCGGTGCCACAGTAAGACTTTTCAGGGGATGTCGATGGCGATGGCGTTGACAAGCAGGTAGTCCATACCTAAAACCATAGCTGTGGCGAGACTTGGAAAAACGGCGGCACGAACGGTCACGGAGACGTCGCCAATCTTCATCTCAAGGTCGTACGTTCCTGCGGACGGGATAACGTCGCCATGGCCCATACGGATCCGGACCTGATGTGTCTCCTATTCGTGACTGACCGCGACAGCAATACTAAGTTCCTGGTGGACACGGGTGCCGACGTTTGTGTGTTTCCCAAGAAACTGGTGCATGGACCGCGCAAGAGTGACGAATATAAACTGTTCTCAGTGACCGGTACGCCATTTTGTACTTATGCACTGTCACTCTCGGCCTGCGGCGAGAATTTCGTTGGACTTTCATCGATGGTTGATGGGGCCCTCCTCTCTCGTTTCTCCGGGTGCAGGAACAATCTCTCAACATTATTCCAGTTCGTCCGCACCTCGACCAAAACAAGTCGAGGGGATTCGAGCAGAACGAACGGTAGTGTTCGGTTTCTCCGAAGCTCCGACACTTGACGGTCTTCCAGGACTTCTTCGTAGTTTGGCATGTAGAAGTCACGGAACTTCCCGACGAAGTTGTCCTAGGAGTACCAGAGTGAGTGATCAGTTGTTCCGGTACCACTCCCAACACCTTATCGGTGAGCATTTCCGGCAGCACGGTGAGCATTGTGTCCGGCCGAACGGTAAAATGCTCCTGGAGCTCTTCGGCGCGATGCAGAAACGCCGTGGGGTCGGTCTCTCCATCGAAATGGATATGGCTTTTGCGCACTAGGTCCAGGGCATTCCAACGAATATGTGGGGACTCAGATGGGGTGGTGTCGGCGCTGGTAGTGGCACGAGAGACGGACATTTCGGCAGTGGCGGTTGAAATTTGCGAATCGGAGACGGCGCGGTTGGTCTCGTAGCTGTCGGTGGGGGGCGATGGGGAAAGACGGGGCGGTTCCTTGTACGTCCATGTACTTGGCTCGTCGATTCGGTTCCTGGAGGTCTCACCAGAGGCAGAACGAGCAAGTTCTAACGGGGTGGGAAGCCGTGATGGGACACCGGGGGACTTAACCCGGCGAACAGCACGTAGCTCTGATGGGGGCTGTGCAGGTGAACGGCGCTGGTGGAAGCTGTCCAGATGAACAGCGCCAGCGCTGGCATCATCATCATCACTAACGTGGCTAACTTCTCCAAGTTCGTCTCCCTATCGGTTTCGGCCGAGCGACGAACATGCTGCAGTTGCTGCACCCACGTAGCCAGCGGAGCAGGATATGTTCGAACTTGGTATTCTTTGCCCATCCTGCTACGTCACCAATGCTAACGTCACGGGACTTCGGGGTTAGTGGCGGCGAGAAAAATGCGGCACAAAAACAAATCAAAAACGGTCAGAGAATTATAGAGAGATTACCGGGCGTTATGGTTTTATAACGCCCACAAATTTAAATTTTCTTTTGCTTTTGTAGCTTTTTCAAGAATTTTTGATGGAATCTCTATCGTTTAATTTAAACCTCACAAATGACGCTTAACATAAATTTAAAACAATATTATCATATTCTCTAAGAAATCTTCCTTTATTTCGAGAATCCAATAGTTGAGCAGCCTTTTGTATGTCAATTATAGCTTTTTCTCTTTTCTTCTGCATTCGGTTGAAAATCTTATTTAGTTGTTTGTAAAATTAGAGGTCCTTTTTTAGGGTCTCTATGTAAAATGAGTTAATCCCGATAACGCGCCTGGACCGCGCACATGTGAAAACAAGGAGCTTTAATGTATAAAGAGGGAGTACAGTGCTCATTGTTTTGTATCGCACATGTACAAACCCTATTTTTTGTTCGTGAATGGACGGATAAGCGGTTGAGCGGGTCAGTGGCGAAACTAGATTTTACTGCTTTCTATTAGTTTTAATACATTTGTCATTGTCCTAGATTTTAGTGGATGTTTACAAAGACTAAATACACGAACGTGTCGGAAGTGTATTAACCACACATTTTGTTTAAAAGCCAATATTTCTGTTTTTCTTGAAATTGTGTGAAACTGAAACTCGTCAGCCACTGTAGGGCAGAGGAATAAACCTCTGGCGCTTTAGTTGTCTCACCCGGGAAATGTGGTCACACTTTGATAGTATGGAAGGCATACAGCATACTCTATGTATACTTATATTCAATATCTTTGTGTGAAAACCTACACGTAACCACATTTTTAAGTTTTAAAATACCATAATGTATAAAACGTTTTATACGAACCGCTCAAAATGGTATTTTATTGATGATTAAAATTCGTTTGTACGGCTTTACATCACTGGACGGTATCCACGAGTGGACAATTTTTTACGAGTATACCTATAAAGATTCTTTAGCCTCGAGTATATTTTTTTTATTTATTTATTCTTTTCTATCAGACTAACTAAAACTTTAAAACTATTCGAATGTGACCGTACGAAATTTTCAATACGCCGCGCCGCGCTTCATTGAACGCAAACGCGCTGGCCATAGATCAAATACATGTGTTTATTTGGTTTCATTTTGCAAAAAACAAAATTATATACAAACATTTTGCAATTTAAATTTGAAACTGCCAAAGCATTGTAAATCGTTTATCAAAATTTATTCCAAAAAATAATTACGTCATATCAAAATTTTGATGAATAAATCTAGTCTAAAATGTGTAAAATGTTATGACACTATACTTGTGGTTTACAAATGCATTCATATTTTTTAGAATTACTTATACAGGTGACTCAAATAATTAATAAATGAGGCAGTCTATTTAATTGGTCAAATCAAGAACAATTCACCCGATTTTCTGGAAAATTTGGCTATACACTACTGTTATTGTTGGCATTACACCTATTCAAATTGATATGTGTCATTGATAAAGTTGATGACATAATCACAAAATTTTGTTATGGAAGACTTCACTTGAAACATATGCATAGCATGCGGATTTACCTCTAATTTTGCAGTCCACACATATCTTATTTTAACTTATGAAAAAATAAATCCACAAAATTTAGTTTTATAATTTTTTGAAGAACCCGTATTTTCAGGTGCGAGAGAGGTGATGTCTAATTAATTTTAGACCTTTTTTTTGTTAATGTGATACCATAAATAGTGAAGAATGGTGTACTATAAATTTTGAGATGATATTATGTTTTGGAAGAAATAAACATGAGTTCTGGTTAGCAGTTTACCGTATTTACAATCAATTTTAAATCGCTGCAAAATTTCAAAATAAATGATCGTGTGAGTTATAAGTTCAGGTGTATTTTTTTTTTTGTACAATTTTGATTTTTTGCGAACACCTGTATCCGTACGTTTGAAACAGGAGTAAATTAATAAATCACACTTAGAGAAGCATACTATTTTTTACATTTTCATCAAGTCGTTGCAGTGGATGAACAGATGAATTGCAATTAGCAGTTTGTTCATGATAACTTCTTGCTAATAACAATGATAATAATATTTAATTTAATCAATACATATAATTTATTGGTCTTCGTTCCTGTAACGATAGAAGTCTTCTCTGAATAATGCCAATCGTTTCCGGGCCTGTGGTGGGTCTGATAACCTCAAAGCTTCAAAATATCAAACAAATTGGTTTTATAGTTTCCAAGTTAAATTGTAAAACATTAATAAGGACCGGTTTATAGAAAGCTAATTAAATATTTAATCCTTTAATTTTCTTAAAGTTTCAGAAATAACTTATTTCGTCTTTGAAACGATGAATTAAATAAATTCAGTTTCGGAATTCTATTAAAATTTGGTGGGCAGCACGCAAGTATTGTCTAGTCGAATATTCAATCATTGGTGTTTAAGGAAATGATAATATTTTGTGAAAAATTAAAATTTTCCAAATTGATTCATTCAGTGCATTGACCTAAAAAAGATTGGAAGAAATTGTCCACATATACAGGAAATGGAAGAATATGAAGTTTGAAGAAACGTACTGCAGTATCATATTAACCAAACAGCGTTTTTTTAGTAAAATTATCTTTTGACCACCTTTCTTTACTGAGGAACTAATTATCCAGGCATGGAATAAAATTGCCTAGTCTTTATTTAATGTAAATGTTGATTTACTGTTAGCCTTAACACCTAATGTATTTTTCGTTAGTAAGTCCAATGTCTTGGATAAATTATAAAATATGATTCTACAAATTTATTTTTTATAACCCCTATAGGTACTTTGAAATAATAATAAAAGTGGTTTATTAAACAGCACCTACAATTTAACGCCAATAGCAACAGTACTAGTACTGTGTGTCCTGAGTGTTAAGAAAATTAAATAAGCCGTTTTTTATTTCATGTATAGTACAAACTGCCACATTAATTTTTTGAGATATGCTTTATAAACAATTCTAAAAAATAAGAGTATTCGAAGACCTTAGTTGTTTAGAGGCATGTTATTTTGCACATCTGGAGTAAAATAGAGTTAAAATATAAGTATTATAACGCGAGCTCGCTCGACGGCGTTGCGGAAGTCGACGCAACCATAAACCAACCCCCGTTGGGTCGCGGTCGCACAACAAGCATACGAATGTTTTACTGTACATAAAGTAACCTTCCTTGACATACACCTTGTAAAACTTTTATGACTTAAGAGACTTAAGCCAAACCACCCTTATAAGTCAAACTGGCTATTGTAAGCTTTGTGAACCCGAACCGCAAGGATTATTACTGTCCATTGTTGGCATAATGGAGCTGTGAACTGAGTTAAGTAATACAATAGCCAGTTGGATTTATAAGGGTGCTTTGGCTTAAGCCACTTAAGTCATAAAAGTTTTACAAGGTGTATGTCAAATGAGGTTATTTTATACATATGTTGTGAATAATTACTGTTTTCATTATTACATCGCTTAAAAAGGAAACACGTATTATTTTCATGAAGTGACGAGGAAATTAGTGGTCGTTACAGTATCTGTTTATTTTTCAGAAAAACTCTGAAAAACTACGACCCTTTCTTGGCACAGAAACGTGACTCGTACTTTCATGCATTGTCCATAATGTCTAAACTTGCAGAATACCTTTTAGTTGTTCTGGAAGGATCAGAAGAGCCGTCGAAAGATGAATTTATTCATTTGTTAAAGGTACATAATATACAGTGAACAGTGATCAATTTTTTTTTACTTCTGCTATTTGTAGATTAATTTGTGGGGTAACAAATGTGATTTATCATTGAGTAATGGAGAACTGACTTCAGACGTTGAAGAGTTGTTTAATTTGCAGAATTTAGAACCCAATATATTATGTGATCATTCTGAAAAAATATGGGATGCCGTTTCTCAAGGCAATTTATCTATAATAGGTAATTCTTCAGAATATATTGTATACTTTTTACAAAGAGATGCATCATTTTCAGCGAATGTTTTTTTTCTTTACTGCATAAAAAATCTATACAGTGGCGGCCAATATAAAGTAGAACATCCCTTGAAAGGATTTTTTCAAGAAATTTAATTGTGTAGACTGGACTCAATTGAATAGGTATTTATTAACAATGACATTTAAACATCAATACAAATTTGAAATTTACAATGGGGAAAGAAAAGTGTCCTACTTTATTTTAACCGCCACTGTATATGAATATTTTATGATTACCTTTTCTTGCAGATATTGTGTTCGATAATTCTGGTTATGAAGTTTTTACGGATCTATGTTTAGCTGATTATTTAATTTCAAAGAAATTAGCAAAAACAATAAGAGTTTATGTGAAAACAGTTCCGTGGTTTATTTCTGATGTGATGACTCATGATTTCTTTTGGACTCTAGATCAGCTCAAAAATAATACTAATGAGTATTTGAGAAAATTGGGAGAAAAATGGACCAATTATGTAAATACTAATAAATGGATTTTAGTTGAAAATGACTTTTGGACATTACCAGTTGATTTCTCAGTTATGCGCGATGTGAATCGTTCACTTTATAAAAAACTAGCTGAAGCTGATTTAGTAATATTCAAAGGAGATTTAAACTACAGAAAATTATTTGGGGAAATTAATTGGGATCCGACTACACCCATCGAGCGCGGGTTGCAAAACTTCCATCCTTCTAAATTATGTACGCTTCGAACAATTAAGGCCGACATTGTTTGTGGACTTGCTGCAGGAATTGCAGAAAAAGTAGAAGCAGTCAATGAGAAATGGATGGAAACGGGTGATTATGGACTAATACAATTCTGTGAAAAAATTGTACCAATATAATGAATGCGATTAAAGGAAATGTTGAGACACTGTATTTTCTTTAGTTTGTTTATTGATGTTTAAGTACCTTTCAACGCAAGTGAAATAATACCATGGCCGACTAGTATAAAGATTATGGCCTGTCCAAAGGTACCATACGTGCTGCCATCTATTAATAATTAAAAAACGACAAAAGAATTATTAACACTTTTTGAAAGGCACAAAGGCATTCATACCGAAACAAACGACCATTACACGTTTTGAAGTTTCATAATGTCAAATCAAATTAAAATTTTGCTAAATTATTAAGTGTAATTATTAATAGATGGCAACACGTATGGTACCTCTTGGACAGGCCATAATCTTTATACTAGTCGGCCATGATAATACTTGCGCATTGACAGTGAACCTTGGTGATTTTCCACAAACAAAGTTAAAAGCGATTACCATGACAATCAACATGTTGTTTTAACATGGCAAATAGTGCGTCCAGTTTTGCTGATAAAAAATTCAACCGACTATTTCTCTCAAAAAAATTGATCCAATGAACTCATTTACATTTCTGCATGACGACCAGCAAGAATGAATTTCAGCGATAATCTTGCACTAATGCAAATTATCGATATTTGCACTAGTGCAAAATTATCAGCTTTGACATTTGTTGGAAAAGGATAAATAATTATTTACAAAAGGGAGGTTTCATTTTTGAAAGGTACAATTATTACATGTTACATAACAGTTAAGGAAACTTTTGCCTTCCAACTCTTTGTCTTGTAAAGTATTTGCCAAAATTAAAAAAACACCAACACTGCGTTCTACCTGGAAAATACAAGTGACATCATTCTAGTATTAAATCTCGAGTTTGATGTGGGGGAAAAACAAAAATATAGGTTATACTCAATTGCAGATTTTCGAAGGGTTTTAACGTTTTCGTGTTTCGTGATGACAACTTTGACGTCTTTTGTAGTTTCAACAGTATAATATGAAAATCACCATTGAAGTTTCTTTTGTTAGCAACTGAAATCAACAAGTGGTGTTTTTTTTTAATATTGGCAAAAGCTATAGTAGGTAAGGTTTGCTTTAGAAATGTGGTAAGTGAAGGAAAAATGTACAGCCGCAGTGGGTATCGAACCCACTTGTCGGGCGAGCGGACGCCTGGACCATCTGGACCTCTGGACTATACAGGCTGCGTATCTTTTCTCGGTTGCCTACTTGTGTCGTCCGGTGATGTTGTATTGGGAATACGCAGTTTGTACACTCCTACGTTTATTTACAAGCCAATTTGCTCTCAAAGACTTTCAACTTGTTTAAAAATTTTGTGAGTATAATAGGTAGGATGTCTTCGTCCTGAATATTGCTGTGCGTTTAGGTTTATAGCTAATCAATTGTTTTTATCACACACTTCATAGGTTAATATCGTTTGTGAAGGAATACCTCATCATTTTTGAAACTTAAAAAATGCTGCTAATCAAACTGAGAATGTCACAGCAGTGCATACTTAGATTCATGATATTATTGAAATTAAATTCTGAATCAAGGACTAACCGTATAATGTATGTTGAGTTGTACAAGCGAGACATGCAACATTTCACAATATTGAATTGTGATATGTCTAAAGGGATGGATGGTTTTCCTAAGTTATTATTTAAAATTAATAGATTCTCAATTGAGAATTTTAAAATAGTAATTTGCAGCGTGGTACAACAAGACATGGTATGCTAATCCGGTGGATGAGTTTTCGTCTGCTTTGCGCAGTGCGCACTAGCCACATAACGTCACATTGCTTTGAAAACCATGCTTGAAACGCTCTTCTGACAACTTCGAAGGACTCGGAGGATAAGATTCGGTACAGTTTTTAATCATGGATTAACTTATCTTCGAAGGTGCTAATTTCAAATCAGATGCTAATAACATATCTTCAAAATTTGGCATCGTTCGTTGATAGTGATACTTATGCGAACATGCAACAAGCCGGAAGTTGGCGGTCATGATATCCACATGACGTCACATAAAATGTCTTCTTGTACCATGATTTGCAGTATCCAAGGTTTAAATTTAAACATTGATGCCCTTTAAAATGTCATCGTGAATTCAAAGAGCCAAAGGCATTTCAAACTGATTTTGTGTTATCATTGATGTGGTCTATGACTGGATTTTTTGAACAATTATTCTCGGACACTCTTCTCACAGCGAAGTGTGTACCGAGGGACATTATTGTGATTTCGACTGTATTTAACATGTGTTTTTTATTTCTGTGATGGGTAATTCGATTCACGATGTAGTCTTAATTAATTGATAAATTGAATTTAACATCATGTAGATTCTTACCGTTGTTGATGTAGTGTGGTGTTACGAAATTTTGGTTACTTTGCGTTTTTAATTCATTTAATCCGACTAATAACTTCGGGAGTACAAATTTCAGATGAACACGGTCAGATGTTCAAAATAATGTGCTTGTGAACAGTTTAATTTGTTTTCAACTTGGCTGGTGTCAGTTCTTTTCATCATTGTAATTTTTTTTTAACATTCCTTACTAATACCATTGTTTAAGTATATTATAGTTGGACAACCTATACGGACAATCACTTTCCCATGTAGAAAAGAATGAATATATATTTTACATCTCACTCGCTTCACTATGAAGTGGCGGTACCTTACGAAAGGGGGTAAAAATAGTCCGTAAGCACGTGATGTCGATAAGGTAGTAAACGGACGTATTAATCAGTACGTTGTACGGGGAGCAGTCACAAAATAAGCAAACGTACGTGTTGAAGACTTTACTGTAATATATGTATATGTAGTGCATACCTGTTTCAAGGTTAAGGTAACAAAAATTTAATATTATCGCGGTATACCTATTTTCCATGAACTGCATGGCTAACAAATATGCGTTCCTTCGTCCACTTTAAAGGTATACGAAATTAAACGACCACTACTTTAATTAATAAGTAACAAGTCATCTAATTTGCCTCCAGAATAACTATGGATTATCATCAAACTATGAACACCAAATTAATTCAATATGAACATCTTCTTACGTATTTTTTTTTATTAACAGTAGTCAAATCATTAAATACATATTATTTTTGAAACTAAAATGCATTTTATCCTAAGATTGTATCACAACATATTCATCACCATTTAAATATATACGATTTAGACATCAAGAAATAAATTTAAAATTGCAAAAATTATACTAAAACAGCCTTAAATGTGTCTTGTATGTACGTGCTTATCAGTATGTAGGCATTTTAACGCACAGCAATAATCGTTCTTGATGAGTAATGACTGATGACTACTGTAACACAGTAAATCCTCGAAATCGAAAATTTAAAACACTGAAAAATTCAAATATGGGAAAATTGTAAAATCGAGAAATCGAAACATAAAAAAATCAAAAAAATTAAAATTGGAAAATCTAAAATTTAAAAATCGAGAAATTGAACAATCGGTTAATTCAAAAATCGAAACATCGAAAAATTGAACAATCGAAAATTTAAAAATTCCGAAAATTGAAAAATTGAAATATAGAGAACTGAAAACTCAAAAAATCGAAAAAAATTAATAATTTCAAAAATTGAAAAGTTAAAATTGAGAAATCGAAAAACTGAAAAATCACAAAATTGAACGAAATAACAAAAAATTAAGAAATTAAAAAATTGAGAAACAAAGAAGTCAAAAAGCAGAGTCTAAAAATCGCAAACTTAAAAAATCGAAAAATTGAAAAATCAAAAACCTCAATAATCGAAAAATTGAAGAACTGAAGAACTGAAAAATCGAAACTTTAGGAAGTGGAGAAATGGGAATATAAAAAAATAGATTAATTGAGAAATCCCAAAACGTCAAAATTTGAAAAATAAAAAAATATTGAAGAACTAAAAAATCGAAAAATTTAAAATTTAAAACATTGAAAAGTTAAAATATCCTAAAACTGAAAAATGGAGAAATCCAAACATCAAAAAATAAAAAAAAAATAAAAATCTAAAATTTAATAATCGAAAAACTGAAAAATCAACGAATCGAGAAGTCGAGAATTTAAAAAATTGGACAATTGAAAAATCGGATAAATCAAAAATCGAAACATCGAAAAATCGAGAAACCGAAGAGCAAAAAATCGAAAAACCAACAAATCGAAAAATCGAAACATTGTAAAATTCAAAAATTGAGACATCGAGAAATCGAAAAATCAAAAGATAAAAAAAATCGAGGAGTCGAAAAATGGAGAAGTCGAAAAATCAAAAAATTGAGAAACCGAAGTAGGCCAAAATCGAAAAATCGAAAACTTAAATATGGAAAAATTAATAAAGCGAGAGACTGAATAATCAAAACATCGAAACATCCGAATCTCAATGAATTGAGATCTCAAAAAATTTAAACATTCGTAAATTTAAAAAATTAAAATATAGAACTGGAAACTCGAGAAACTGAAAAATCTAGAAATTTAAAAATTAAAATATGAAAAATTTGAAAAATTGAGAAATTGAAATAAAAAACAAAAAACTGAAAATCCAAAAATAAAAAATAGAAAAATCTAGAAGTCGAAAAATGAAAGAATCGAAGTATTGAAAAATATCAAAACTGAAAGAAATATCCAAAAATTGAGAAATCGACAAACCAATAAAGCGAAGTCGAAAAATCGAAGAATTGAAGAACTGAAAAATCGAAACTTTGAGAAGTGGGAAAGTCAAAAATAGATTAATTGAGAAATCAGAAAACTGAAAATTTAACGCAAAAATTTGAAAAATTCAAAAATTTAAATACTGAAGAACTGAAAAGTCAAAAAATCGAGAAAAACTAAAATTTAAAACATTGAATAATTAAAATATCACAAAATTGAAGAATCGAGAGATCCAATTCAATTTGAAAAATTGAAAAATCGGGGCATTGAAAAATTGGAAAATCCAGAAATTGAAAAGCTCAAAAGAAAAAAATCGAAAAGCTGAGAAATCCAAAAATCGAAACATCGAAAAATTCAAAAACTGAGACTTCGAGAAATCGAAAAATCGGAGGATCGAGAAATTGAGGAGTCGGAAGCCGAAAAGGAAAGTTAAAAAT